CACCTTCTGTTATTATGTTTGCTACATGTAATGAACAAATACCACATATATTTTCTCATATTACTGTTTTTTCAGTAATGTAGACTGAACTCCTGAGCTCTGGTACAGTATTATTAAGTTTCTACTTAATCCGCATTTCCTTATTTTGGCCTAATGTCCCTGCTCTGTCCTGGGACGCCACTGGCTTCTGAGGTTATCTTCTCCTTAGCTCCTGACTGCCACAGTTCCTGAGACTTTTCTCATTTTTGACGACCTTGGCAGTTTTGAGGCGTGCTAGGCAGGCATTTGGTGACCGAATGCCGTTTCTCTCGTGAAGCTTCCTGTGAGCCCTCATCACGCTTGCCCTCAGTAGTGCTGGTCAGACTGTCCACGCGAAGGTTGTCTCTTCTTCTGATGCAGTTCCCTCTTTGGAAGGAACTTTTTGTTGCCTTTGTAGCATCAAAGAATAATCCTGTAATTATCTGGAAAGGCTATAAAATACCTTTCCAACCACCGACCCATATAACTACAACATAACTAGTTTTTTGTTGTTATGGGTATGATGTAATGGCTTTTATGATGGTGGATTCCAGTGAATTTAAATTTTCCTCAGTTTTAATAGCAAAGGTTAGGAGAGAGAACCCATGTAAACCAAAGCTCCTGAGATTCCTTGGTTATTCTTAAGAGAACAGAGGCCCTGGACCACAGCCCCGGAATCTACTCGCATCACAGTTAAGCTCTTCTGACCCAAAAGGAAAGAATCATTTCCAGAGAAAGCAAGCCAAAGCTGAATTCCAAAGGCTTAATGAGTTAACTGCCTATTCCGGAATTTTCCTTTTGAGAAAGGTAATTTTTACACCTGCAGAAAATTGGTTCCTCAACCAATATCTGCGTTCACAGGTAACTGTTTGCAGGGGCACCTCATTATTTGTGGTTTAAAAATGACAGGTGGCCAGGTGTGTTTGCAGAAACTCTGGGCAGAGGATTCATCAGAAAATGCATCAGTCGCTGCATATGCATGGCTCTGGGTATTCTCTGGCGCCTTCCTGCTCCCCGCTTCCTCGCCCTTACTAGCTTGCTCTTAGTGCTCAAGGAATGGATGTCTGTCAGAATCAGATTCCTGTACTGGCCTTCGTCTGCCTGTTTGTCTCAATCAAATCATATTAGTTTATATATTGTTAAATTGCAAGCCTTACCAAATAGGATCTCCTAGAGAATTCTTGAATGGAACCCTCCTTCCACTGCCTGCTTTATCTGGTTCTATTCCTAATGAAACCCCTGTTTGGGAACGCCTTCTTGTGTGTGCCCATCTTGGCACACTGTCAGGAAATGCTCAAGGATGAATAGCTTTTATCTGCGTTATTTAGCCAAGGCTGCAGGCTGGTAGTCTTTGCTTCTCCAGTGGAAATTAGCACCAAGAAGAAGACATTAATCAGCAGGCCTAGGCAGCCCAGGAACCTCTGTGCCACTCTCTCTTCCCAGCAGCAAGACCATCCTTGAGGTGTCTTACCTATGCTGACTCCTGACAAATCCGTGCTCCCAATAAGGCGGCTAGCCAACCTCCCGAAAGCAGAAGCACAGATAAGCCTGAAGTGACATCCCAAAGACCTTCATGGAAAACTGGCCTGCTTCGTGTCGGAATAGGAATCCAATGTCGTGTCTTTTGTTCTCTGGCTTCCCTTCCATAATCCTGGTTGACTTTCTAAAGAGTCACAGTCATGGTATTAGAAGGCACCGAATCTGTCTCTCTCACTTGTTGGCAAGTGCACATCTTCTGTAACCATGGCCTTCGTTGGTCTTGCAGCAACACTATGGGGATGCACTTTAACCCAAGAAAGGGATGGAGAGCATGTTCAGTTAGGTATACATGTCACCATGTGGGGCCTTAGAATAATAAATTCTCATAATTGCCCTAGACCACAGTTTGATTGAATTTTTTTGTTTGTTTGTTTGTTTTGGGTTTTTGAGACAGGATTTCTCTGTAGCTTTAGAGCCTATCCTGGAACTTGCTCTGTTGACCAGGCTGACCTCAAACTCACAGAGTTTCACCTGCCTCTGCCTCCTGAGTGCTGGGTTTAAAGACATGTGCCACCACCACCTGGCCACAGTTTGATTTAAAAAGGCAAAGTGCACACAACAACTTGACACCTGAGGGTATTCATTATTCTGAGATTTGGGGTCTAAAGGGGAAAAGAAAATGGGTTTTCAGTAATCGTTGACTGATTTATGTCTTCCCAGAAAACCTCTCTCTATATATTAAGTTACAGGTTGTTAACACTTTCTATGTGTTTTGCTAATTTAAAAGGAAAAGCTGGTGGAGGGGGAGACTTCTAGAGATGTAGTCATGAAGGAGAAGCTAGGTTGGAAATGTGAAAGCTTGCATTTCACATAGAGTCATGGTGGCCATGGCCATGCTGAAAGGGGAGGAATCACTGGCATGAGACGCAGGTCTCTGGTCTCTATGAGAGCATTTCTGTTGGGGGACAAGTTCGTAGGCAGGATCCTTTGGCCTTGTGTCTCTGCTTCCAAACTTGATCCAGAATGGAACCTTTGTGGCTGTTGTTTGTGGCTGCAGACACATTTTTTAAAATCTCTTTTCTTTTATGTGTATGAGTGTTTTGCCTGAGTGTATGGATGTGCACCGTGTGCACGCCTGGTGCCCTGGAGGCCAGGAGAGGGTGTCAGGTCTCCTGGAACTAGAGTTGCAGATGGTTGTGAGCCATGTGTGAAACCAACCCGGGTTCTCTGCAAGAGCAGCCAGTGCTCTAAGCCACTGAGCCACCTCTCCAGGCAGGCTGGAGACTGTAAACTCTGCAAGCCGTGGACTTCTCAAACTCAGCTGCCTGGTACTTCTTTGGGGTAAAAAAAAAGCTAACAGAATACTTAATGTTGTGCTATGTGTGTCTGATTTAAAAGCCTGTCCAGGCCCTGTATGGTGAAGGCCCAGGGATTCCTAGTGGGTCTCAGGGGAGAAGGCGGAGTCCAAGAATAGCATACTTTCAAGATGATCCATGTCTCAGGGACAACGTTATTCTGTGGATCAAATCTAGTAGCAGATGTTAGTCTTTGTAGTTGATTAAATGTCATTGAAAAATGTTTGTTTCTTACAATAGAGAATAAGATCTGAGGCACCTTTTCCATTCTTTACATCAGTTCACTGAAAATCATTTAGTATTTGGCATATTGTCCAATTAGAATATTAAGTAAGGTACATGTCACTAGATACTTTATTACTTTGAAATACATGTTATAGAAAAAGTTTAGAAATTGTTAAAATATATTTTAAAATAATAGTGAAGTGTTGAACCAAATAGAAGATTTTCAACGGAAAAAATCCTGTAACTATAGTATTCTAGGAATTATAAGATTGTAACATATTTCAGGGCCAGATGTTAATTAACTTATGTCTCAATGTTAGTCAAGAAATGTATCTAGGGGCTGGAAGAGGCCTTGTACTTCTAAGGTTCTTTCTGCTTCTGCAGAGGACCTGAGCTGGATTCCTAGCACCCATACGCCACCTCACAGTCATTTGTTCCTCCAGTACTGGGGGAGCTGATGTCCTTCTCTGGCTGTGGGCGCCAGGCACACACATCATACACATGTGCAGAAAGAAACACCTTTGCCCATAAAGTGAAAATGAGTGTTTTTTTTAAAAAAGGAAATATGTCTGGGGGCCAGTGAAATGGCTTAGCAACCCTGAAAAACCTGGCTTCTTTGAAACCCATGGAGGAAGGAGAGAGCCAATTCCTGAATGACCTCCACACACTTGCCATAGCATATCCACACTCCAGCACGTTTGTGTCCACACTCAAGCACACATCATATACACGCACCACAGCAATAATAATTTTTTTCTGAAAAGCAGTATGTCTAAGATTTCCATCTCAAGATTATTATATTGATTTAAGGGTCAGCAACCTTTTCCTTAGCACTTTCATGCCTGTATGCTTTTCTTGTGAGAAATGTGAAAATAAATATCAGGACGTTTCTGTCAGGGCCAGTGAGGGCTCAGTGGTAAAGACACTTCTGCTAGGCATTGCTGGCCTGAGTCCAGTTCCTGGGACCCACAGCTGGGAGGAGAGAACTGACTCCCCCAGAGTGGAGGCATCACCTCCTCTGGCTCTGACCATCTTTCTGCCTCTCTTCCTCACACATCCCTGAGCCCAAGAGTTTTAGGAAGGCTTGTGTGGCTGTGTAGTCCCCAGAGGAGTGCAGAAGGCTTGTGCGGCTGTGTCGTCCCCAGAGGGCTGCAGCTCTTACCAGTGTGCTCAGGAAGTCAAGGAACAGGACTTCCCACTGAGGCGGTCTCTCTTTCAGGAAGATGAGCTACAGCACTCAGCATGCTCGATACTGTTTATGCCAGCGGAAGACTTCTGCCTTCTTCTGGTACATGTCTCTTCTATAACCACCAGCAAGTGTCTGCTGAGTGTGCAGTGGAAGGCCGGCTCAGGTCTAGGCACAGTAAGGGGGTGGGTACCGGATGAAGGAGAGTCATTGATTGGGACACTTACTGTCCTAATCCAAAAGAGAAACTGTGATGGGCACAGAAGTCAGTAGGCTGAGCAGATTACCACAGGTTATGTAGGAGCAGAATACTGGGGGCCATGAGGACCAGCCTTGAGAGCTCAGAGTTAGAGATTCTGATGGTGCAGGTGGGAAGGAGTCTGAGGAGAAATGCTCGTCCTGGAAAGCAGGTGGGTGGGAGTCTGAGGAGAAATGCTCATTCTAGACCACTTCCATTACCTGTTTCTCCAAGGTTGTATGTTGTGGAGAGCAGAGCTCTAAATGACAGAGCCAGGAGGGTTGATATACTTCCATGTGATAGAACAGACTAGCCCACTTGTTAATCACGTCTGTAAATTCTGTACAAAAATCTTAGTAACAATTGCCCTAATGGCATGACCACTCAAAAGCACAGAGAAGTAGAGGTATAATCAACTTTTACAAGAAAGGACTGGTTGTAGTGAGTTTATTTTTTATAGGCTTGTTTGGTTTTTGCCTGAAGTCATATCACAGTTTATCTTATGGTTATCGAAAATTCAATAGACGCCAACTGGGTTTTGGCCTGAGGAGTCATAGTCGAGCAAGCGAGTGACCACAGCAGCCAAAAACCTAGAAAAGGAGAAAACAGTCACGAAGGAACAGTTTCTAGACAATGCTCGGATCCCAGGCTAGCCTGTGAACTGTGTGAGCATAGCAAAGAAAGAAGCAAACGCCTGGACAGAAGTGTCAGTGTTGTGTGTCACGGAAGACAGTTTGCAGTCTGAGACTCCCTCAGTTAATTATCTGCTAAAATGTGAACACTGAAATAAATCAGTATGTCTAATACCCAAGTCTGCCCATGCCAGACGACCCCAAATCCCTACGAAATGTATAGGCCTACGTCAGAAAGCGACTCATTTTCAAGAGAAAAGTTAACCAGCAGAGACTTACCCGAGATGATTACAGATGTGGGAATTACAGGTGAATTTTTAAATTTTCATGCATTTATCAGTGGGCAGGGGTGGCTGCATGGCATGTTGTCTGTAGAGATCAGAAGACAATGAAGTGAGCCCTCTCTTTCCTCCCAGAAACTGCACTCTGGCTGTTAGGTTTGGTGGTAGGTGCCCTTACCCTTAAGTCATCTTACCAGTCCCAAAGTTTTCAAAGTAGCTTGAGGCAAGCAGATTTTTGTGAGTTCAAAACCAGCCTTGTTTCCATAGCAGGTGTTTTAGCCTAACCAGAGTTATCTAAAAAAAACCAAAAAAACAAAAAAACTGTGGGTGGGGGCAACCTTTATATGTATATTCAAAGGTATAAAGGTATAAAGGAAAATAATGAATAAAAAACCCAGGAAATCTTAAAAGAGAAGTTGAAAATATTAAAAAGAAACAAATGAAAATTCTAAAGTTAAAAATTCTAGAACCCGGCACTAGAGAGACAACAGCTCATCAGTTAAGAGCAAGCACGGCTCTCACTTAGGACCCAAGTTTGGTTCCCAGCACCCACATCAGGCAGCTCACAGCCACCTGATTGCAGCTTCAGGGGGCCTGGCTTACAAGGGCAATTGCACTCACGAGCACATGCTCCAAACCCACCCCCACTCTTGCTCCTACTTATGATTAAAAATAAAGGGCCTTGCGCAGGCTCAGAAGGTAAAGAAGAGTTCAGATTCTAATTCTGTTACCTGCATAAGAACTCGTGGATGTGGCAGCTACCTGTTACCTGCGTAAGAGCTAGTAGATATGGCAGCTACCTGTAATCCCTGCACTGAGGAGGTGGAGACATGGGATCCCTGGGACAAGCTAGCTATCCAGAAAAGCTGAGCCAAAGAGCTCCAGGCACGTCAAGAGCCTCCTACCTCAGTAAATAAGGTAGCAAGCAATTGAAGAAGAGTCCAGGATCAACATCTGACCTCCACATATGTACATGTACACATGTATGTGCACTCCCATAGATGTGTGCTCACACAGATCTGTGTGCACACACAGATCTGTGTGCACATGCACACACACATACCACACACACACACACACACACACACACACACACACAAAATTATAGTCCTAAAACTTTAGAAAATCTATGCTTAATACCAGGTTTAAAATGACAGAAAAATTACTAACAGGTCAGCATGGTGACACTGGCCCACTTTCCCAGCAGACATGAAGCAGAGGTAGAAGGATCCTACGGTCTACATAGTGATTTGTGGTCAACATAGTGAGTTACAGGTCAGCCAGGACTATCACTATCTCTCTAGACTCTGTCTCAAAAACAAAACAACAGCAAAATGAAGAAAACCAAATTACGTAGTCTTGAAAACTGGAAGAGATAGGGCTCAGGAAAGCACTTGCCATGCAAATACACAAAGGGAAGTTTGATCCTTGTGAAAAAGCCAGGCTTGGTGGCATGTGACTGTGATCCCAGCAGGCAGGAAGCAGTGACAGGCAGACCTCCGGAGCTTGCTGCCTATTCAGTCCAGGACCCCAGCCATGGAGTGGTGTGGCCACATCCTGGGTGGGTTTTCCCACGCCGGTTAACTTAATCTAGAAAATCCCTTGCAAAATGAGAGCTGTGGAAGCAAAGCAGCAACCTACAAGTTAGCGTTTCTGAGTCGTCTCTCTCCATCCAGAAAAGGTTGTAAGCGCTAAGATGGGATTGCTAAGGCTGTTCAGGGTTTTCTTGAATATTTTCATAAAATTTGGGTTGCAGATAATTCAAGGTTGTCTTCTTGGCAAGAGGATGGAGTGAATAGTTCTATCCACAGTGTTATTCATGGTCTGAAGGGTTTGCCCTTTGTATTCTTAGCGGCACGGAGAGGCATTCAGCCTTGCTCAGATGAATCGGCGTCTTTACCCAGGATTCTCGTGATGTGGAAAGCAGAATGGGAGGAAGAATAATAACTCTAGATGTCCACTTCATTTCCAGTCTGATTGCACTTTTCAAATAGCTAAGGCTAAGAGGATTCAGTTTGTCCCCAGTGGGCCCTCTCAAAACAAGCCAAACAAACAACAGCAAAACCCAAGCCCTCTAGCCAACAAACAAAACTCAAGTAACTGAGCCTCTGCACGTACATGGCTTTGCCATGCTCAGACATTAGCATCCTGGAATTTAAAATAAGGTCTTCGCTCTCTAAAGCCTTTTCCATGTTTTACATACACACCACACACACACACACACTATTAAGTGTCCCAGACCTTGCCACTAAGCCTGATTCCCAAAGAGGAGCTGCAGTGGCTCACCTCACAGTTCAAATACCTGTGCAAACCACTGCCAGTGGGGCCAGACCTGATCTTACATCCTGTAGTCGTCCAATTTTCTGAAAAGACCCCAAAGCCAGGCGCATTTACAATGCTCGCCTTCACGTCACAGACACGGTAAATGCTGCCCTCTGCTGAGAGATGAGCAGGAGGCTCCGTTATGTAAATGGCCAAGTGCAGGAACTGACTCGTCATTTGAGCAGGGCCACGCCGGTGCTGGTTACTTCACCACCATCCTATAGATGTCTGGCTAACACATTGCATTAAAAATAGAACGGGGGGATGGGGTGGGTGGGGTGGGAACATTTCACTGTTGGTGCCTCACGTTTATCATCCACTCTAGTCTCTCCAGTCAGACGTCATTGTCCTCTGCATGAGACACTCATACAATGGCTCACCAGCCAACAAAATACCTTTCTAAGTGGAAAAGGGGGAGGGTTGGTATAGCGTTGTTTTAATAAATGTGTTTGTGAAATAATTCTAGCACCACTTGGGCAGTTCTTCTTCTTGCCAGTAATCTTTTCCAGTCTCTGCTCAGTTGCTAATATCCAGGTTCATATTTTCCAGAAAACTAGATGCTTCTGAGGCCATGACAGTTCCTTATTGTTTTAAAGTGGTAACTCCATGCATTTAGCAGCTGAGGATCGTGTTAAGCCGCTTTTAGACCAGAGATTAAACTGGAGATGTTGCTCAGTGGTAGAGAGCTTGCAAGCATGAGTAAGGCTGTGCCTGTAATCCCCAGCTCTGCCTAGCCCATAGCTGAAACTGAAACAGAATTGCACTAGCCAGCGAGGCCAGGGGTGAAACCTGGAGGTGGGGCATGTGTTTTGTGTATGCCAGGCCCCAGATCAATTCCTATCACCACACCCTACTCTCTCCTGAAACCACCCAAACCCCACATACCAATGAAGTACAGGTAGGACAATCACATACATAGATGGTATGTCTTTGAAAAGAAAAAAGAAGACATTATTTGTGTTCCTGGATGCGGGGAACAGATAAAAATGCAACATGGAGTCCACTGGCCAACGCATTTGACTTACTTCCATTTTCTAGAACCTCGTTTGCCAGAGGTGTTGGCCTGAAGAACAAGGGAGCCATGAGGATCAGTATCTAGTCTGAAGTGTGCTGGTGGCTTCCCATACAATGAAAGAAAACGGCTCAGCTCACAAACGTCGAGACTGAGAGAGTTAGCAGGAGTGTTGGGAGCTGCACTCCCCATGGGGGTGGCTTCCAGGACTTGCTTAGCCAGCATCTCTGGAGGCCCTTATTCGCCAGACAGCCTTACAACCCGAAGAGGCGGCCTTGTTTGTCATATACTCGAGGCTGCCTTCTCACTGTGCCTCACACTGTAGCTGAAAACTCAAGCTTCATAAACACCAGGCAGCCACTCTGCATCTCGAAGCGTTTGAGTGCCCGAGAGACTGTCTGGGAGCCACAACAACCCATTCACTTCATCCTGTCGTATGAGTGAATCCAGCTTCTTATTTCCAAAGAGGGTGACTCTCGTCCCCCTCTAAATGTTGGGTGTATATGACGCACCTGGATACCTCATCCTGGCAGCCAACTGTTGCAGGAACTCAGTCTGATTTTCCTGATCCGAGGCTGTTCCTATAACTAACCCCATGCCTCTGCTTTTGCAATTTTTCTGTATTATCCTGGGTTTTACTGGTGCTTATAGTCAGTGATAATTACCAGTAACGGAGTCTGATGATAACAGCTTCCTTTTCTTCATACTCCTTTTATTTCTGTGAGTATGCACATGTGTGCAGGTGCCCATGGAGGCCAGAAGAGGGTGTTGGATCCCCTGGTGCTGGAGTTAGCGGCTGGTTGTGAGTCTCTTCATCTGCGCACTGACAGCTGAAACCCACGCCCCGGGAAGAGCAGTGTGTGCCCTATGGCCATGTCACCGTGTCTGCCTCTCCTCGTGCTCTCCCAGTGCTGCCCTAACCAGCGCTGCATCTTCCTTTGCCTCCCTTCCACAGGCTGTGCGATTGAGATGCCTCTGCCGACCACTCCAACTTCCTACTGCCTCCCCCTCAGCTAACCTGGAAGGACTCCCAGGACTAAATTAAGCCCAGCACTGTCACACAGAGACTCTTGGAGCTGGCTGGTGTGCCTTGTGTCCTGAGGAGGTTGTCAGTCCCAGGGTCTCCAGAAATTAGACTCCTGCAGAAATTGGAGAGTTCTTTATAGCACAAGGCTAGTCCAGTATGTGTGTGTGTGCTGTGTGTGTGTGTGTGTGTGTGTGTGTGTGTGTGTGTGTCGGGGGGTACTTCTAGCGTATCATCTTCACTTTCTGTCTGGTCTTCAAACTTGCTCTTAAATATGACTCTCCAGAAGTGCTGTATGAAACACTAATAGGGGACAGAGTGCTGACTTGGGCAGAACTTACCTCTTGACCCTGAAATGACATTTGTCAAGGGGGATGAGTTTTCCTTCACACTCCCAAGAACCCCTCTGGATAGAATTCGTGAGGGTTGGAAGAATGTCCTGGCTTGGTGAAGTATTCCCCCGCTGGCTCCTGGGCTTCGCATTCCCGAGAGATCATAAACCTGACTCCTGGGACAACCCTTACTCTTCTAACACATTTCAGCGCTCTGTTTTCTAATTACAGATTTGGAATCTGACAGCTATAAATTGTTTAAATGTGGTATTTTGGGCTTGTTTTGAGAAGGGCGCACTCACCCTAACTCCCATCAAGCATTTGTTCCCCGGGGTACTTCAGGAACGAGGTACTGCCATTTCTGTGTAAACAAAGCAAGATGCCACACACACTTACTTAACGAGATGCTCTTAGGGTACCACTGCGAGGGCTTTCTACAGAAAAGGCTATGTGGGTGACGAGTGACTCTTAGGCCGGGGTAATCTAGACAGAGCTTGAAATGATAATCATCCTACTTGAGCTGAAATAATGGTGCGGAACAGCTCACAGTGAGGAGGAGGAGAAAGAACGCTGACAGCCCCTCTCCCCACACTGAAGTGGCCACTGCTTACTGTAGGGCAGAGGGCGGCCCGGGGGTGGGGCAGTTCACACTGGCAACAGCGTGGAGAAAATCCTCACTCCTGGCACCGGGGTCGAAACCCAGGCAGACAGCTGCGC